ATACACATAAGAATACAATTTAAAATAACAATTATTACAAATAGTTATTACAAACAATAATTTATAAACAAAAGTTTCGCAAACTTACAAACAATATAAAGTCTTCTTTCTAGTCTGGAACTTCCTTGATATCTTATCAAGGGTTTACGATGAGCGAGTTAATTACGAGTTGATGTAAGTACGATTCGCTTAACGGGAAGCTAGCTACCTTTATCCTTTGCCACACACGCTGAGTTTCCACAGTTGAAGTTAGGTAATGTTTTCGTAAAAGTATTAAAGTCCTGGTCAAATATCTGAAGTTTTCCGAATGGTAAGCGTTATAACAATCACAGTTATAATTTCCGAAGTTTTATAGCACATTGACTATAGCGAACTAATAATAGAGACCCACCTTGGCGCATTGCGTTGGTTATATTTATAGCCGTGGGAAGGTTCTCTAGAAAATTCATATTACGCAACAGTACAATTTAAGAGTTTATACACACACACACACACACACACATATATTGTTGATTCTTACTCTCGAGAATCTTTTATAACTTTGGAGAACAAGCGGGAGTTTCGCAATACATATTTAACACTACAAGCTATGCATGCTTTTAAATACAAACTTAATCTAAACAACGTCGATATTAAAATAAATATATAATAAAAATTCGTTACAAAGAGCAGCCCAAGAGTTGGCGGTGGGTTTGATGACTAGCTGCCTTCTCTCTAGCCTTACACTGCCAAATTAGGGACGGCTAGCGCAGATAGCCCTCGTGTAGCTTTGCGCGAAATTCAAAACAAAAAAAAACAAACAGGTCTGATGGCATTCGGTCTAGCGTTTCAACAGTTATAAGCGAGCACACACATAGTAGCTTCGATTAAAGAAATCAATAGTATCAACACTAAAATTGAATATTTATAATTTTACTTCATTTGCTATAATAACGTAGTTAACAGTAAACTTAGTGTAAGTCACAGCTAATTAAGCGTTGTAATAATTTCAATAAATAGCTATAATTATCTAATAAGTCTCTTCATAACTGCTTTAAATATATGTAATTATTCAATAAATCTCGTCATCATTGTATTAAATATATGTAACTATTCAATAAATCTCGTCATCATTGTATTAAATATATGTAATTATTCAATAAATCTCGTCATCATTGCTTTAAATATATGTAATTATTCAATAAATTTCGTCATCATTGTATTAAATATATGTAATTATTCAATAAATCTCGTCATCATTGTATTAAATATATGTAATTATTCAATAAATCTCGTCATCATTGCTTTAAATATATGTAATTATTCAGTAAGTCTCGTCATCATTGTATTAAATATATGTAATTATTCAGTAAGTCTCGTCTTCATTGTATTAGTATCACAGAACTGCACATTTTATAATGACAGTTTAGCTCATAAATGTGCATGAAACAGAATTATTCATCGATCAAAGAATTACAGATAATGTTTATATAACAAAATTTCGTACATATGTTTGAAAAGAAAAAACTCGAATGTAAATTAAAGTAACACTAGATTTATTGCAAACACAATTTGTGAATCGGGTTTGTTTGTTAATATAATATAAGCCCCCAAGTGGCACAGCGGTATGTCTGCGGACTTACAACGCTAGGAACTGGGTTTCGATAGCCGTAGAGGGCAGAGCACAGATAGCCCACTACGTAGCTTATCATAAATCAGTACTCGCCGAATAATAATCGCATTAATTTGTTTCAACCATATATGTATATACGATTTATAATAGTTAATGTAATTAAACCAAAAATGTAAATCTTTTAGTTTCCTATGAAGTAGCGTCATTAGGGTTTTAAAGTAATTTTAGTTTGTTTTTTGTTTATTCAAATTTCAGATTGGTCTACTTACAATCATATATATGCTAAACCTAAATGTATTCTTTTTTAACGTTAAGATTAAATCTTCATTCAAAATTATGTACAACTTATGATATCCACGTTGCTTTTTATATATAACGTAACCTTCAAAGTACCATGGCTCTATATAACACTGTTAAACATAGGTCAGCATATGTCTTTACTACAATATGGTTCTCTATAACACTGTTAAACATAGGTCAGCATATGTCTTTACTACAATATGGTTCTCTATAACACTGTTAAACATAGGTCAGCATATGTCTTTACTACAATATGGTTCTCTATAACACTGTTAAACATAGGTCAGCATATGTCTTTAGTACAATATGGTTCTCTATAACACTGTTAAACATAGGTCAGCATATGTCGTTACTACAATATGGTTCTCTATATCACTGTTAAACATAAGTCTTTACTACAATTCCTAATTAATTTACATATTATCATTTATTTTAATAAGACGAAGGTTCTAAATTATTTTACTCTGGTGGCAAATGTGCTAGTTACTAGCTACTGTTTTCAAGAAAAACAAAAAAATGTTTTAACGTGTTCATTTTTCTTTAAGGTTAGCAATATGTTTATCATGAGCCTGGCGATTGCTGACCTAACTGTTGGAATGATCGTTATGCCAATCAGCTCAGCCTATGCCATCACTGGAAACTGGAAATTTGGAATCATCGTTTGCCAGTTCTGGTTGTCGGTGGACTACAGTGCAAGTACAGCATCCATCCTGAACCTTTTCATCCTAAGTTTGGACAGGTACTGGTCAATACGTTCACCCCTGAAATACTTAAGGAAAAGAACAAAAAAGCGGGCTCTTATCATGATTGGGATAGTGTGGTTGGTGTCTGCTATGTGGATTGTTCCAATTATTGGATGGCACTTTTGGTATAACAATGGCATTCGTAAACAGCCTAGCGATGTGTGCGAAACGGAATTCGCCGATAATGTGTTTTTCAAACTGACAACGTCGACTGCCAACTTCTACGTGCCCATGCTGTTAATGATTTGCTTGTACGTGAAGATATTTTCAGAAATTAAGAAGAGAAGTAATTTTGAAATCGGTCAGTGCAATCAGAGAGGAAAAGAAATAAATAATGATTCCATTAACCAACCAGTGTGTGAAATCCAATCCCAACAAGACAGTTGTCAGAGAAATGTGAGATGGCACTCGACTCGAAGTCGGATCCAAGGCGAGTCTAGACAAGTCCGGAATGCTTCGACTCCTTTTGGTGAAGAGTTCTTTGAATGTGATGAAGAAAACCAATATTCGGAGTCCAGTTTTACAATCGAAAAACGAGAAATGGACCCCTGGCGAGATGTCAATCAGATTAATGTCACGACATCTAACCATTTTAGTAAGAGTGGGAAGAGCAATTTAAAGACAGTGAAAGGAAATCGTCGCTATAGACATTTAACGTTACTATCAGTCCCCATGCTGAACGATGAGCAGGGACATCAAATTACTCCATTCCACAAACAGCATTTCGATGATGTCACAGTCAATGTTGAAGTGGTCAGTGACAGTGGCAGCGAGGACAAAGATTTAGTCTTTCACGAAAATGACAAAGCGTCAACGTTCCATTCACGCAGACAAGCTTTTCTTTCTTCATCATCAACATCGCCAAATACTGACGCGAAGCCAAAGAGATCAAGATGTGGATCGGGAAAATCCAAATCATTTCTTGAAAAATCTTACAGGCCCAAAATAAATCGTAATAATCTTGGTCAAGAAGACATAGAACTCGACTCCGTGGTGGATCAACTACTGAAGCCCAAGGCCAGCCTTTCAGGTAAGCATAAACATTGTAAAAACATTAAAAACTCGCTTTATGTAAAACCCTGTGATTCGCTGGCTCAGCGTGGCACCGGATCAAATATCCGAGCTGGATCAGGATTCTTGCCTCACCTCACCACAGCATTCCGCGTTACAAGAAAATCTCTGGCATCGAATCTAAGGCAAGAAAAGAAGGCTGCTAGACAACTGGGAGTTATAATGGGCGCTTTTGTTCTATGCTGGCTTCCTTACATTATAACATTCATTGTCACAGCTTACTGTGATGATTGCATTGATCCAAAAATCCATACCGCTACCATCTGGCTAGGCTATTTGAACTCTACGATGAATCCATTTTTGTACGCCTTGTGCAACGATAATTTTAAGAGGGCTTTCAAAAAAATGATTAGAAGGAGTTCCAGTTATTCCAAGTTTTTTCCTGCTTTCAACAGCACACGGACAGACCATCTTTTTGCCTGAAAGTTAATCATTTTGAACTGATAATATATAAGTCAAAATAACGCTCAACTGGTTCTAATTATGCGTTATCTTCTTTCTTTTGAGTTATGAAGTTTTAATCAATTCTCATTGTCACTCTGATTGAAACTTTAAGTAAACTGTATAAGTTTAAAGGAATAGTTAATCATTTGTACAGTTAAGGAATTAATCATATTAGTGTTGGTAATCAAAACTGATTATACATTATTGACTTGGTGTTTTAGTTTATGAAATACATGTACGTATATATATGTATATAAAGATAATATTAATAGACAATCTCAAAATATTCTTTTTCTCTTACAATGTTATGGCAAGTTTCTTCTAAATATACATATTAACGAAATTGCCTACTTGTTTTCAATAAGCTTTGAATTGTCTGTGCTACATTGTTTCAAAGTTTTATTAATGTAATTGAACTGTTATTTACATCAAATAGTAAGTATTTTAAAGCTGTGAAAATTTGAAAAATAAATATCTTAAATTTTATATTTTATTTTAGGATAACGTTGCACCAAATGTAAACAGCTGTATAAGACAAATAATCCTCGAAGGCTCTAAAACTGTCTTTCTGAATAATCTAAAACTCTTTTGCTATTTATATGAGTAATATGTTGTCGTAAAACATGGAAAATTATATGTACTAGTGTAAATGTCGTGTAAGTGCTATAATACAGTCTTGGCCAAAATGTTTGCATATTTTGTAGCAAATAAGATCATTATTACTAAGATAGAATACTCTTAGTGCTGTCAAACTGAGAAATTCATGTTAGGTTAAACATCTACATATGTAACTTGTATAATGAGATAGGTTCTATGGACATCATGAACGATTTATTAGAACAGCAAACAATTTTATCAGACGCCTGTAGAAAGATGTGTAATTCAGCATTTCACCTATCACAACAAAACCTTACCAAAATATACATATAATGACAAAATATAACATCAAATTATTATAAATAGCATTTGTAATCTTGTATCATTTCATATTAAACATTCAGTACTTGGTTGGTCCTCCTCATACACTAATAACCTTTGAAAGGCGACGTGACATGCTGTCAATGAGGTTAGTGATGTAATCTATCGTGATTTCATCCCAACTTGTCACTAGAAAGCGCTGCAACACAGCTATAGTAGCTGGTTTAGGGTCGTGGTTAACAATTTTCTGGCTCAGTTCTCAATGGGATTATAATATGGAGACTTTTTTGGCCATGGCAATCTTGTATCATTCTCCTGGTCGAGATAATTCTGTACAATATGCACACTGAAACAAATATATTGACAAATCTTGCTCTAGCATATGACAAAAATATGGTCTCCATGTGATGCCTGTAAAGGCGCCATTGGCGTTTCCCTGGAGGATACGAAGAACACGATGAATAGCTGACCAAACATGTACTGCACCATCTCCTGTGTAGTCCCTGTGAGAAAGAGCCTTCCCTCATCTGTTCTCCAGAAAAACGACGAACATAAATCCTACCAACAGCTTTAACAGGACTCGTCTTAAAAGATAACATTTCATCAATGTCTTAACTGTAAGTTGGAATGCTGTCTTGCCCAAGTAACATTGTGACGGTGGTGAATTCTGGTTAATATCGGTTTGTAGATAGCCCTTCTTGCAAAATAAACTTGTTTGGTCGGTCTCATATTCACTGTTCTTCTGGATGCCCTGGAATGAATGTGTTCATGCCATTCCTGTCGTAAAATGTTGCAAGACTTCTTTCGATCTTGACGTGCTAACCTGATCAACACAAGGTCATTTCGGGAAGTAGTTTTTTGGCGCCTACAGTAGACTTTCCTGGAACAACGTTTCCTGTAGTCCGATGTCGTTTAAGGATTCTAGATACACTACACTGGGGGTACCTTACTGTTCTGAAAATGTCCGTTTGCCTCATACCATATCTGGATAGTCAAACAATTTGATGTCCTATAACTTCTGGCACATGACGAGGCATAACTCTACACAAAGTACAGAGAAACTGTCTGAACAAAGCAATGATTTGTTTCGAAAATATTGTACCAAACGCACACCTTTTTATACAAAACAGGTGTGTGTAAATGTGTTTTGACGAAAAATGCTCAAAACATCTTATACAGACCAGAATAACAAGTGATCATACACTACCTTCTCTGTTACTACTCGGGCATTTACCCAATAACGATAACTAATAGAACAGTATAAAAACCTTTTGGGCAAGACCGTATGTATTTGATGTACGTTGAGTAAAGTATAGTTACAAATATGTGTTGAAGAATTGTTATGATTATGTGTTGATGATACCTTGTTTAAGTGAAAGTGGATTTGATGTACGTTGAGTAAAGTATAGTTACAAATATGTGTTGAAGAATTGTTATGATTATGT